GGGAGCCCCCGGCCCCTTCATGGAAAAATTCTCCAAAAAAAAAAAAAGAGTAGGGAAGCCAGAGGATCATGTGAACGTGGCACCCTACAATACAAAGAACCCCGTCAGCCAAGCCCTTCAGGGCCAAGCCAGAGGCGTCTCCCTGGGTGCTCTTGCTGAGGGAGACCAGATGGCCAAGGACCTTCACAAAGCCCACACCGTCCACCTTGATGCACCAACACTGGGAGGATAAACCTGCGCCAGGTGTCTGCCTCCCCGACGCCGGGGCACTGCCTTAGCTGGCCCACCTGGCAGGAAGATGACACTCTGAGCTACAGAGAATCACGAATGAGTGAATCTTACACAGCGACAGACAGGAGGAACACGGCAATGGGGATCTCGCGTTGGACACCTACTACGCGCAGGCTCTGGGCGAGCCACTGCGCACACATCTCATCTGCTCTAACGGCCCTGGGCTGCGGCCCGTTGCTCAGATCTCCCATCAGCAATGAGCAGGCTGGGAGGTGTCCAGGGACCGGCCAGCCTCCCGACACCACCTCTGGGATCCACCACAGCAGTCACCCTGGGGCTCGCTCTTCAGGCTTCCGTACACTGACAGGCTGCAGACGGGGTACTGGAATCAGGTCATTTCTGCCTCCACCGGACTCCCATGATGAGCTCTCTGCCCGGCTGGGACTTTGTCAGAGCCACACTGCGGTCTAGGGCTCTTCCTGCTCGGGCCCCCCCTTCCCTCCCCTCTCCTGTCACCACTCAGACCAGCATCCTAGACAGGAAGCTCTCACCTACGTTTGCTCCCTTGCCCCTTTGTCCTTCATTGTCATTTCCCCATAGATCTCTTGCATGTCTCATTTTGAATTGGCATTTACATCTCAGAGGACCCCAATAAGACCATCCCCATTTTACCAGAGGAAACTAGGCTAACATGGCTGAGGTCACATAGTTGGGATTCAAACTCAGATCTTTTACTCTTGAGCTCAAGCTAAGAAGCCCATGGCATACAGAAAAAAGAATCTGTGCCAGTATGCGTTGTAAAACAATAATAAAAACCCACGTGGGGTCAGCAGGTGGCATGGTGGTTAAGGTGCTGGACTCCCACAGGTCAACCACAGTTTGAATCCTGGACCTGGAGGCTTGCTTTCCTACTTTCCCTTTCTCTCTCTCTCTAGTCAAATTAAACAAATAATAACGATAATAAATGAAATAATGAAGAATTCTAAAAAAAAAAAAATCCAAACAATGGGACCAGCAGATGGTGTAATGATTCTGAAGAATTCTAAAAAAAAAAATCGAAACAATGGGACCAGCAGATGGTGTAATGATTATGTTGTTGGACTCCCACAGCCAATTGCGGTTCAAGTCCTGGGCCCAGCGGCTTAAAACACACCAGGTGTGTGTCTGTGCATGCCCAAAATCCTGACCGGAGAACGGAGAAGGGAATGTGGCATGGCTCTCCCTCCTGGGGGGTGATTTCTCGCTTTCTATCTCTGTCTCTCTGGCAAGCACACATGCCCCAGAGCAAAAGCCTCTCAAAAAAAGAAAAAATAAACAAACCACATAACTATGCAAAGGCAAAGCAGTGCTAAGAGAAGGACACCACATCCGGAAGCTGCTCTGTCATTTGTAGCAGAGTGCCAGCCAGCACACGGGGCCTCCAACCTCACTCTCCCTCTTTTATGGATGTTAAGACCATCTCTGCTACCTCACTAGCTAGTGGCCATAACCGAGTGAGATTCCTCCTCTAAGAAGGGCGGGCACAGCCATAACTGGAAGATTCTAACTGCAAAGCATGGCAAATGGCTAACAGTTCAAAGCCCGAAGGAGTCTACCAAGGGGAGTACCACTTCTTCCAGACAAGACTCCCAGAATACAGAAGAGGGTCAGGGGAAGGAGAGTTTTTCACAGGGCCTGGCAGGCATTAGGCACTCAGTAAAAAGCAGTTGAATGAGAACAACTTCAAAAATACCTCTCATCGGGACCAGCAGTTAGCGTAATGGCTATGTCGCTGGACTCCCATGTAGTCAACCACGGTTCAAGTCCCAGACCTGGTGGCTTAAAACTCACGCTGGGCACATGTGAGTGCGTGCCCAAGATCCCAAGAGAACAATGGAAGAGAAGATATTGCGGTGTGGCCATCCCCCCGGGGGATGATTTCTCGCTTTCTGTCTCTCTGTCTCTGTCTGTCTGGAGAGCGCACGCACCCTATAGCAAAAAAACTTCTCCCCCCCCAAAAAAAACCCCACACCTCTAATTGGGCCAGCGAGTAGCATGGTGATTAGGGTGCCAGACTCTCACATGGCTCATCGTGGTTAGAATCATGGACCCAGTGGTTTGAAAAGCCCACTAGATGCCCAAAATCCCAAGAGGAGAGTGGAGGGGAAGGGAAATTACCCTCTAAGGGGCCATTTCTCACTTTCTCTTTTCTCTGTCTCTCTAGCAAGTGCACATGCCCTACGACAAAAACATGTTTAAAAAAAAAAGAAAAGCAAAATCTCCAATCATTTTCCCTCTCTCCATCCCCACACAGACCCCGGCTTCCCCCCACCACCCACAGCCTTGCGCACAAAGCAGGGTACCTGGCAGTTCATGTTGTCCTCCGCTTCAATGAGCTTCCCCCGATACACCTCGCCAGTATTCGTCTCACACGTCACGATGTGGCCCTCTGCCTCGTGCAAGACTTTGATCGGCACACCAATAGACATCTTGGCAGGAAGAGTGCTGCCGTGAGAGAGACAAGGGTGGGTTCACCTTTCAGAAGCTAAGAAGGCACGTGGCATACTCCAGGCCTCCCTCAAGGCCCAGCACTCCGTACAACTTAGCTAGGATGCCAAAGCTACACTTCCTATGGGGAAATAAAGCTCCTACCTCGGAGGGACCCATCTGCCGAACACAAGATTTAGGGTGGGGAAGAGCCATGGGATAGATAGAGGGAAAGCTAATGGGAATGGGAAGAGTAGCTCCTAGGTCCCTCCTTGCTATCCTGTCATCAAATTAACCACTAACCAATACTGTGTGTGTGTGTGTATTGGGGAGAGAGGTTCGAACGCAGGTGTGCAATAATGTATTTGTCAACCCACAATTGTAGGGCTGACAAACTCATATATTGAGAACTACAATGGAGATCTGAGTTGTCTAATTTAGTAACTAAAGTCCATATATAGTTAGACAAATTAATTAAAGTAAAATCAGGAGCTGGGAGGTGGTATAGTGGTTAAAACGCTGGATTGCCACATGGCCAACAGTGGTTCAAGTCCTGGACTTGGAAAAGCACACACTGGGTGAGCACGCGTGTGTGTGTACTCACAATCCTAAGAGGAGAAGGGATTGCAGTGTTACCATTCCCCCTGGGGATGATTTCTCACTTTTCCTCCCTCTATGTCTCTGTCTCTCTGCTACAAGCACATGCACCCTAAGGCAAAAATCTAAAAAGAAATTTAAATAAAATAAAATTAGGGCCAGCAGGTGGCACGAAGGTTAAGGTGCTGGATTCTCACAAAGCTGACCATGGTTCAAGTCCCAGATGTGGTGGCTTTAAAATCATGCACATGTGTATTCATGTCCAAAATCCCTAGAGGAGAACAGAGAAGGGATTTTGGCATGGCCAGCCTTCCTTGGAGGGTGGGGGGTGAGTTCTCACTACCCTCCCAATGAGTGCATGCACCCTACGGCAAAAACAAAACAAAACAAAACAAAACCCCTCAATTAATTACTTATTAAATTAAAACTCAGCCCCCCCACCCCCGCCATTCCACATGCCCAAAAGCTCCATGTGACTAGAGGCTACTGTATTGGATGGTGCAGATGTAGACCAAAGAATTCACTAATTAGGAGGAGATTGTGCTTCTAATTTAACCCTTTGACCCTCCACTAACTTTACCATCAAGGTCAAACAGAAAATACCAAAGTGACAATGTCCTATAGCGGGAAATAATATCTCCGAGGAAAAATATTATCAGGGAAAGGGCCTGACTTGACCTCATTAAAAGAGACAAGAAATGGATTTTTTTTGTTCCAAGATAAGCAATGTCACAAGGCTGGAACACATCGTGAGTGTTCAGGAGATGAAGGAGGACAAGAGGTTGGGAAAGACAGGCACTTTCGGTGAGCAAGAATCCCTGGGTTTCAGCCTTAGGAGTTTGGATTTTAGGTTGAAGACAGCGGGGGGACAACTGCAGGCTTACAGCTAAGGGAAAACGTGAGAAAACCAGCACTTGCAGAACGGCTCTAAAATACAGTTTAGAAGCAGGGAAACTAGTTACAACTTCCGCAATAGCGCGGGAAGCATGGGGGACCAGTGCCTGAACGGAGCCTGCAGGCAGAGATGCAGGCTTTGAAAGGATGATCCACATTATTTGCGGGAAGGAGCTAAACAGCCAGAAATGATTTCAAGATTGCTGCGTGGATGCTTCGGAAAACACTGACCTGGACAGGTATACAAAGTGAAAAGCATGCAATTTGGAGGGAAGCTAATGAACTCACGTCCAAGCGACGCGAATACCTGGGTGGCCCGGGCTTCCCGCTCTTCACCCTCCCCAACCTCCATAGAGCTCCTCGGCAGCGCGTCCCTCTCCAGTCCCGGCCCCTCACAGGTCCCTCGAGGGCTCCTCAACCTCACCGCCCCTATCCCCTGTCTCTCCTCACCGGCTCGGATCTTCACTGTCTCCTCTCTGGTGCGCTGGCGAACGCTGCGAAGGCGTGAGACAAGCGAATGGCGGGCCCTACACTCCCACAATACCACGCGTTCCCAACATGCCTCGCGCTAGGCCCGCCTCCTTCCTTTCCCCAGTGGTGGGCGCGGAATCGCCTACGCTCTCGCCTCGTTCAGCCGACTGGGAAACACCGACTCTGCTGCTATAGTTCCGGAACGAAGGCGAGAACTGATGACCGGGCCCCGGGGTCGCAGTAAACACCGGCCCTCGGGCCGGCAAGGGGAAAAGGAGGTTCGCACTTCCAATCATCCCGCACCAAAGATGGGCTGGGAAGCAAGACGAGGTTCTCAGACCTGTGTCCTCGGATCAGAGGCAGCAGGGAATGGGGCTGAGGGCCAGGATCTCTCAGCACAATTGAACCTCTGGATGCCGGCACCACCAGGTAAGGCGCCCTGAAGGAAGAGCCGTATCTTTTGCACGGATAGAGAAAATGAGATATAGAGCGTGGGCTGGCACAGGGTCGTCCCTAGGAGTCGGGATAGGGCTGTTTGGCGTCTTGGCGATGCACTGGGCGGGGCCAGGGTGTACACCTGGCAAACCTTCGGGGCCCGGCGGAGGCGGAGCTTACTAAGGAGAAGAGCCAATGTTCGCGCTGCGCCGGGCTTCGGGGCGGGGCTAGAATGTGGGGGCGGGGCTTCCGGGGAACCCAGCGGGGAAGGGCCTGTGCTTCTGAGCGGGGATTGGGCAAGGGGCGGGGCCACAGGAGCCGAGGTTGCGAATGGCCCGGGCGGTCTTAAGTCAGGAGACTGGGGACCTCTAGGAATCCAAGTCTGGGACTGAAAGAGGCGGGACTTAGGGGAGGGGCGGGCGCCGG